CACTCAAAGGAGAAAACAATGAGCATTCACATTTAAATCCAGCTAACATCAAGGAGAAATCCCATAGAAATCTGAGAAATCCCATAGAAAACAATGAGCATTCACATTTAAATCCAGCCCAACTACGCTATTATTGAGCTAAGTATCTAAACCATTCTCCTTAATTATTCTCCTCTTAGCTAGATACTTGGTTAGCCTTTCTTCTTGGTAACATCGTTGCAAGTTTGTTATTTTATCCACTCTTAGTTCTACTTAAATTTGAGAGAAAGGACCTCATTTGCATTGTCCTTTGTTGAATGTTGTGCTTGTGCCAATTTAGATGAGTTATGTCTTAATTATTTTATCATTTGCAATGTCAAGCCATTACATGCAAGTGTTCAAGTAACTTCACATGTTTCTAATTCAAATAGCCTGTCGTTCTTACTGTTTTGCAAACTTTATGGTGCTGCATTTTAATTAATTCTAGCAAGAAATCTCTCTTTGTAGGACTTGATCATTCAGTCCTGCATCATGTGGCCTTAAGAAACTACACCACCTCCTCTATATTTGCCACCAAAAGCACCAATTGCGCCTTTAAATTCACAAAGCTTATGTCGATACACTCATCATTGTGTAGAGTATCATATTTTGGCTTAAGATTGTTATACTCTCAATCTTAGTATTGTATCATCATCATCATATCATGTGCATACTAGTTCATATACCCATACATATAGCTTTGCCTTCAACTCAATGCCATATTACACATAATAGTGTATATTTGTGTGATTGGTTTATTGTACTCACTTGCGCAAATTTCTTATATCCTTTTATAGTCCGTTGTGTATGATATAAATAATCTGGCATTCATATTGCATGGCATGGAATTTGAAGATTTTCAAAGGAAATTCTAAGTGCTAGTTGAACGCCCAATTCACCGTCTGCTGCTACACCAACTTCCACCACCTTGGCCATTCCAACATCTACATCCTTTAACTCAAATGTAGCAAAAAACTACACCTCCTCTACATGTGCCACCAAAAGCACCAATTGTGCCTTTAACTCTACAAAGCTTATGTCGATACATTCATCATTGTGTATAATATCATATTTGGGCTTAAGATTGGTATATTCTCAATCTTAGTATATCTAGTATTGTATCATCACATCATGTCATGTGCTTACTAGCTCATATACCCATACTTATAGCTTTGCCTTCAACTCAACGCCATATCTCACATACTTATGTATATTTGTGTGATTGGTTTATTTATATTCAATTGTGCAGACTTCTTATATCCTTTTATATTCCGTTGTGTATAATATAAGCCTTTTAGCATTCATTGCATGGCATTGAATTTAAAGAGCTTCAAAGGAAATTCTAAGTGTTAGTTGAACACCCAATTCCTATACATGGTCAAAAATCAGGTCAGAGCATTTAGTTTATAAATATAATGCAGTAAAAGTTTTAAGCTAAAAGATCATAAACGTGCATAAAAATCTGTCCGAACATGAAAAAGTAGAAGCTATAAATTCATCTAACTTAATAGGTTCAATGAAAATATTATAAATTAAAACAAAAAGCAATCCTGCTGGCCACCCAAAAATCCCATCCAAGTAGTTGATGTGATAATCCATGGAACCTTCAAGGGAAAATTCAACAAATGGAACCTTGTTATGTTTTTTGTTAGCTGGTGTAAGAGGCGGACAGGTCCCGCCTCAAACTTCTGCCACCCTTTTGGGGTGGGTTCCAATAGCAATTAGAGAGGAAATTAAGGAGGATTAAGAGAGAAAATTCAAAAGAGGGGCTGTTTTGGGATTTGTATTATTTTTGTATGCTTTATGTAGGCTATTTTTCCAGGATTAGGGTTATGTATGTGTTTTCTGAAATTAGAATTTCCTAAGAGGTTTGGGCTCTAGCCAGCAGCTAGAAATTTGGAAGAGACAGATCTTCCTATCCAATTGAATATCCATTGTATCTTGCTCGTTTTCTTCCATATATCATCAATTAAAAAGGTTTTTGATACGCCTTAGGTTTCACAAATTAGAGTTTGCCCTAATTTTCCTTCAAGGATGAAGTTTCTCCACCAAATCAAAGTTAACCCAAAACAAGAAGATTGAGAGGAAGAACAAAAGTTTTCTCCTAATTTTACACATTATTCTTCTCAATCACTATTTGTACTTTGCTGAAATTCAATTCTAGCCAAGGTTTTCTTCTATTTCAACAAGCACCTATCACATTGGTATCAGAGTGGTGTCCTAAGCTGAAATATAAGATTTCCTTGTTGATTTATGCTACATTTTCCTCTCCGATCTTGCTGCTTTTTTATGTTTGAAGATTAGAACCAATGTTTTTTTTTTTCCTTTTTTGTTGTTTGGAGCCTAGATTCGAGTTCCCATGGCAGGGAAAAAAGTAGAAGTATTGGAGGGCGAGATCAAACAATTAAAATCTGAAATTTCAAATCTCCAAACTCAAGTTTTAGATCTTAAAAGTCAAATTTCAGCCGTCAACGTCAAGAACGAGGGGAAATTTTCTAACCTGGAGGAGATGTTGAAGAAGTTGCTCGAGGATCAAATCAAAAAGGCATCTTCAAAGGCAAGGGAAGCTGCCGACAACCAATGGAGTGATGAATTCGATACGACGAAGGGAAGTTCAGAAGGCGGAGATTTTGGATGGAGAAGAGAGAATGCTTCCCCTAAAGCCTATCCCTAGGGAGGAGTCGGGTAGAAGGCATGTGGAGAGGCGTGAGAGGGTTGGGCATGAGCGAAGGGATGTTGAATTTGAAAGGAGAATGGTTGGTTATGATCGAAGGGGTGCAGAGTTTGAGAGAAGAGGGACGGAATTTGAAAGGAGATGGGATAATTATGATCAAAGGGGTGTTGAATTTGAAAGAAATAGACTGATTATGATACAAGGGGTGCTGAATTTGAAAGAATGTGAGAGTTTGATGAAAGATTTGGGTATTAGCATAGAAGGGATGATCAGAATACTTGGGGGAACCACCCCCTTGGGGATTGGGATGTTATGGAGGAAATAGGAGGAAAGAAGGAGATCCGAGGGTGAGAAAGTTAAAAATGCATATTTTTTTGGGAGAGGATGCACATGGATGGATTTATAGAATGGAAAGGTACTTTACCATCAATAGATTGACAAAGGAGAAGAGACTAATAGCAATTGGGATATCCTTGAAGGAAAAGCATTGGCATAATACCAGTGGACGAATACAAGGAGACACATATAGACCTGGAGGGAGTTTAAGAACTTGTTAGAACGTTTATGAACCAATAAGGAATGGGACTTCTATGAGTAGTTCTTTGCCCTGACGCAGGAAGGGACAATAGTGGAGTACTGTGAACAGTTTCAGCAATTGGCCAATGGGCTGGACCGGCTTCTGAAGACTATATTGGAAAGGGACTTTATGAAAGGGCTCAAACTAGAGATTCAGATGACATTTAGAGTAATAAGACCTCGTGATTTGGGAGAAGCTATGGAGCTAGCTTAGTTAGTGGAGGATCATAGGCATTTGGAGAGAGGAACAGAAGAAGATTTGTATAGGATGACCACCACCTTTTTGACATCCAAGGAGCCTACACCGGGTACTCTTAGGAAGATCCCAAAAGAGAAGACTGTAGTAGGGAGATTTGGAGAAAACTTCAAGAAGCTAAGAGAAATAGAGTTACAGAAGAAGATAGCGAAGGGGCTTTGTTTCAAATGTGAGGAGAGATATACACTGGGCCAATGATGTAAGACCGATCACTTAAGGTTCTCACCGTTTGTGATGATGATGAAATTGAGAAGAGAGTCGCCTTTCCACCTTGTGGACACGGTGAGTCTTTGGGAGGAGAGTATTGTTAAATCGGTCCTATCACAGGAAGCAGACAAGTCCTGCCTCAAACTTCCACCCCCGTTTTGGCGTGGGGTCCAGCAGCAAATAGAGAGGAAATTAAGGGGGAATAGCAAAGAAAATTCAAAAGAGGGTCTATTTTGGGATTTATGTTATTTTTGTATGCTTTAAGTAGGTTATTTTCCTTGGGTTAAGGTTATGTATGTGATTGCTGAAATTAGAATTTCCAAGAAGATTTGGGCTCTAGCCGGTGGCTAGAGATTTGGGAGAGATAAATCTTCCTCTCCAATTGAAGATCCATTGCATCTTATTCGTTTTCTTCCATATATAATCAATTAAAAGGGTTTTATTCTAGTTTTGCACATTGTTCTTCTCATTTAATGTTTGAACTTTGCTGAAATTTAATTTCAACTAAGATTTTCTTCTATTTTTGTTACCTATCATTTTTATCTTTTAATTACCATGCCTCATCTTTCTCTCTGGGATCAAGTAGAGTTTCACCATACACCTTATCATTAAGGTAAAGAAACTTATAGTACCTTAGTTCTAAACCACCGAGCTATTATTTGGAGTGTCAGTCTCAACATCACAACCCTGCAAGAATTTCCGTTGACTAATAAAATAATAGGAAATTCCAACATGATTGAATGAGTGGTAGTTTTGTACAAGAACAACGATTAAAAAATATATTTTTAGATGTATCATCATCACCTCCGTTAGCTTTATCCCAACTATGTGGCGTTGGTTTTATGAATAGCCCTCATTCTCAACTCTATTTTATACAAGTTTTAAACACAACTTCAATACATGTTATATTTATTCTCCTCCTATTTTTCCTTAATAACTCTATATCTACTTGTCATATTCATGCATCTTCTCCCCTTTGTTGGCCCATCAAAGTCTATATACAAATATCTTATATTTAAAAAGAGCTAATATAATCATTCTCACTCCATCCTCCCTATTTAGTTGAGCATTCATTTTAATATTCTAATTTTCATACAATCAACATGTCCATCAATGACTTCTTTTCATTTTAAAAAGGGTCCAAAAATACATAATTTTATATCATCATTTGTAATCAAGAAAGACTAAAAAAAAATTTAAAATTATACCTATTTAATAAAAGAAAAAAAAAAGAGATAATGGAATCTAAAATGAAGGGACTGAATGTACCTCTGAGAATTTGAAGAACTGTTGACACAGCATCCATAGGGGGCATGCTTTCAAAATTATGAGCTGCATCACCAGCAACAAGTGCGATTAAGAGAGGACCTCCAGCTACTGTAGCATAACTGTAGAACAGAAAGAACTCCCCTCGACGGCTTGGATCTTCAGATAAGTGTCCAAAAGTATCAATATCAGTTCTCCAAAACACGTAAGGAAATAACATAGCAACCTTATTCAATAAGCCAAATCCCAATCTCCTAATTCCATCAAGCTTTCTCTGAGGAAGCTCAGGCACAAACTTTATTGAACCATTCTTTAGAACCCCAAGTGAAACAGTACAAAGTGCCATGTTACCCTCATAAACCTGCCCTCCTGCAATAACTTGCACTCCATCAACACCATATCGAATTGTGTGCACAGTCTTTTCATATAGTATTGGAACATTTTCAGCTAGAGCTTGAACAAAGCGCCCATTTCCACCAGGTAAGAAACAGTGATCACCACCCATATCATAGGGATCATCCTGATCCCAAAATGCTAATGACAACTTTGAAAGGAGCCCAGCATTGGCATATTCCAAATTTGCCAAATGCCAATTGAATAAGCTCATCTCCTCATCTGTCACAGCATCACCATAAACCTGCCTGAAAGCCTCTAAGGAAGCTCCAAGAGATACATCCACGGCGACCTCCCCCATGGTCTGCCTCAGCCGGCTGGTTTTTTCCAACAGCCGATTGAATGCATTCTCAACTTTAATATCCACATCAGGATTCACAGGCTTACCATCAGGTCTATACAAAGGGCATTTGTCTCTAACCTTATGAAGAGATGATCCGAGCTGCTTGCCAATAATTCCAAGAGGGTTTCCAAGCGTACCTGTCAATACACTCCCACCAAGATCAGCAGCAGCAAACTTGCTTCCTCCTTCCATCCTCTTGGTATAAACCCTACCTCCACTTCTCTTCCTCCCTTCCAAAACCACAACTTTGAACCCAAAACACATCAATTGCCTTGCCGCAGCCAATCCTGCAAGGCCAGCACCAATGATAATGATACTTGGTTTTGTGGGCTCAGCCGGAATTTTCTCCTTGATTGCAGGGGCGACGCCAAAGTTCACATAACCATGTGAAACCAAGAAATTATAAGCAGAATTCAAAAGCACCTCACAATGGTCTGGAATCACACTTGCCAAAAACTCCTTGGTGAGCCAATTTGAGACGTTCTCCCTCCACCTGGACAGAATATGGTTACGGATGAGAATGTAGTTCACCTGCTCAATTCCGCCAATGGAGGAAATGACATTAGCTTCGATCTCCTCCTCGGTAAGGGAGTCCGCAGGAAAACCGGCAGTGAGGGCAATGAGGGCCTCGTTGGTGGCCTCCCTGTTGATGACAATGATCTCTTCGGAGATATCCGATGGAATATTAGGTTTTTCAAGGGGGTTTTTTAAGGGACTGGCAGTTTGGGATATAGGCGGCGTTGGAAGAGGGGTAGGAGGAAGAGAAATAGGAGGAAGAGGAGGGTTCGATTGAAGAGTAGAGACAATGGGAGCTTTGCGTCGGACTCCAGTGCGCTTGCGCTTGCCCTGGAAGGAGACGTGGAGGTCATAGTTAGAGCTAGGGTTTGGACTAGGAGTTGAAGTGGAGAGCAAAGATGTGAAGGGGTAAGAAAGGAGAGGATTTGGGGTTGGGGAAAAGAATGGAGGATCGGAATCGGACATTGGATTGCTCGAAAAGAGCTGAATGCACTCCACTCTCCTTCCCCAAGGCCGGGAAGCTCTTGCTGCAACGAATCAACTAGGGGCAGTTTGGATGTAGAAATTACAATTTTTTTGGGAATTTACATACATACCATTTAATTTCATGCTATTTATATATGTAATATCTAAAATATTAATATTACAATTCTATCACCAATAGAATAAATTTGAATGCATGAAATAAAATATTAAAGTTTATAGGATGGTATTAATGATATAAATGAATTATATGAATGATATATTTGATATTAAAGTTTTATATAGGTGGTAGACATGTAATAATAATATTTTGAGTGTTAGATATGTAAATAGCATGAAATAAAGTTGTATATATATATAAATTTCCCTTTTTTTAAATGCACGAGTTATTTGATCATATACAAATTAAATAAGGGAATTTTACATATCTAACATATAAAACGGTTGAAAATACATATTTAACGCCTAAACTAATTTATTTATTAATATACCACATAAAACACTTATTTTAAATCTATTATAGCTCTCCGTCTTCAGCCTATTCATCCCGTTCTCCCCTTAGTCCTATTCGCCCCTTCGCCCTGTTCGCCTCTTCCCAATTCGAAGTCGTGACTTCTCTAGTGATTTCGCCTTTCGCCCGATTGTTTTGCACGCCAGGTTGTTTCTTTGGTCGGCAATTTATGAATTTTTTTGTTTTTCTTCTTCTTTTCATTTCTTTTTGTAACAGATTTATATCATTTTTTAGTTTTTATTGCTGATGTTCATCTTCACCATTAGTTGTTTAGGGTAAACTTCTCAAGTCTTCATTCACTGTGTTGTGTTTGTAAATTTAGAGATGCACAATAGGTGTTTGATGAAATATCAAATAAGCACCATTTGGTAGAATCTTTTTTTTTTTTTTACATTTAGGCCAATTAAGGCAAACTCGCACACACATCGCATACACAAAGACTCGAATCCAAGACCTCTTAGTTGGTACCCTAAGCTCGCAACCAACAGGCTAAGGTGAGCTATGTTTTTAGTAGAATCTGAAATGATGTTTTTTATGAAGGTGTATTTTATGAATGAATGGAATGCGAAAGCAATTGTTTACTTCTCATGTCTTCATTTTCTTTCATTTTTTTAAGGTGTATTTTATGAAGGCAATCTACAATAAATTTGAGTTCCTTGGCAACACCAATCAGAAACCTAAGTAATCAAATATATTGTCATTGCAACATACAATGTATGATATTTACATCTTACCAATCACATAGTAGAGAAAGAAAATTCTACATATGCTCCTGGAATAGATTAGAAGACGATTGCCATTATTTTTGATGGTGTGATGAAGTTAATGAATTGTTGTATGATAACAATTACCAAAGTTCAAATGTTATTGAAAGCTGTAAAATGCATGTTGTTTTAGTTGGAACCGAGCTGTTACAAATAAAATTCTTGTTTGTCATAGTGATTTTCCTTAATTGTATTGTAGCATTTTGTAAGTAAATGTCGTTGTGCGTAAATGTCAATTTGAGTTAATGTAATTTTTACTCGATCAATGTAAGCATGAGTCGATGTAACTTTTTGTCAATCAATGCAGCCTTGAGTCGATGTAACTTTGTTTGTTTGTTTTTTTTAGTGAGTGAATATTTTTAGCTCACTACAGGCATGTTGTAAAGTTTAAGTTTAAGTATTCTTTTGAAAAGTATTAGAGCTTCGTTCATCCATCCAACTCTACAATAGCTATGAATAAGAACAGTATAATAATAAGGATCTGTAAAATGCATTACTTATAAAGAGGGGTCTTTAAGTGGTGATTTTTCAAATGTAAAATGCATTACTTATGTTGGTATGGCTAAGCAGCTTGTTTCATCTGAGGATATTAATGATTAAGGTTTTAGTCTGGTGCTCTAGTCCATTATTCTTCTATTTTTGTAGTCTGGTGCGCTAGTCCATAGGTTAAACTCATTGAATCCACTTTTTCGATATCCAACCAAGCCTACACAGCTCACCTTTAGTACCATGTCATCTCAATAACAAACATTTACTATTTTGTTCAGGGAAATCTTAACCCTTTAAGATATCAACTATTTCGAAGTGAGCTTAGCCCTACATAGCTGCTACCTAGATGTAAGGTAAATCAAGCCATGCAAATAATAATACTTGATGGCCAAATGCATAGAACAATCTCAAGAGAGGGAATGGGCACAAAGAATAATACTCTCATAATTATAAGTCATTGACTCAACAGTCTTTCCCAACCAAACATAAACCATATAAAAGCAAGCATAATTATAAGCCTTTGAATCAAAAGTCAGATAAAATGCAATAGTACTTAAGTTAAGTGTAACTTTATCACATGTTAAGTCTTTAACTAAGAAGTCAGACAAAATGCAATAACTTAATCACGACCAGAATCCTAATTGGCCCACTGAATGGGTAATTTTGAACAAATATTAGTCTAAATATCTTATCCCTCAAAACTTATAGGTTCCTGCTAGTACTTCTATGGTGACCCCAAGAATTGCATCGACCACATTTATGGCTTGTTTTTTTATTTCATTGCATGCTCCAAGAAGTTCTTTAATCGTCTTTTATTTAGTTGTCCATGAGGCCTAAGTGTAATAGGTGGACAAATGAAGTTGCAATCAATTGGTATAGACCACTGTTCCTTCCCTGGAAGTGTTGAAATAGCTCCATCATAAGCTATTTGGTACCTGCAAAAAGTGTTGTTGTAAAGACAACTAGCATTACCATAAGTGAAAATTGAAGAAGATAACTCATCTATAACTATAATAGTGATCATCCAGATATGTGTGCCATAAATTGTGATGTTTTGTTTCAATAAATGTTGCGGCATGTACACAGGGTAGTCCAGCTAACTCCCAAAACCCACAACTGCACAATTAGTTCTTTATGTCCGACGAGAAAGTTTTTTAATGTTCTTTCAAAGGTGTCTCATGCAAACTCTATGCTCAGCATTAGAAAGTACAACCTTTATTACTTCACCTAACCCCTTCTCCATATCTGATATGAGGCCAAGTCTTCTACATCACCACTAAAAGCTTGAGACAAATTCATCAAAAATCATTCCCAACTTCTTTTTTATTCAGATTCTGCAATGACGAAAGTAATGGTATAGAGACCATTATTCCCATCCCAACAATTTGCGAATAGTAGAACACCTAAATATTTGGATTTTAAATGACAAGCATCATTGCCAATTAAATATTGACAACCAACTAAGAACCCATCAATACAAACCTTGAAACTGACAAAGAATCTATTAAATTCTTGGTTTTGGTTCTCGCATAAGTATGTTATATGTGACCCATGATTCCTAATGATTAACTCTGACCTTAGTGTGGGCACCCACTTATAGTTATCATCTATTAATCCAAAAAAAAAAAATCTCTTGCTAATTCCCTTGAATATCATTTTTTCATGTATGGTAACGATAGTTTAAAAGTGGTCTCCAAGTTATTGCAAATGTCCTTCAGTGTAATATCAAGATTCATTTTTACGATTTCCTTGATTTCATGAGCAATCCAAGTAGTAGTAGCTTGCTTGTTTCCAGCTCTATTCACCCCTGAGCATAAATGTGTTGATTGTAACTTTCTAACTTCGAATGAATGACCATCTGAACATAACTAAGCACGTATTCTCCATGTACATCCACGGTATGCGCTTGTAGAAATAACTCTTGATTTGTCACTAGCTTTAATCTTCATTGCATAGTTTTCTAAAAATTACTTTGGAATGAATAGCTTGTTTATTCTTAATGAATCCTCATATCATGAACCAACACATATAGTATGTATTTCTTCAATCTGAGCCACAAAGGAACCATCACACAAACCATCTACAATTATGTCATTGTTCACCCTACTGTTTACACTTAAATCTTGCATATCGTCGTATTGAATGTCATCTGCATGGCCCGTATCTTCTTCAGGATCTTTCACTGCAACCACAATTGCCATTCTAATATTGCCATCATATCAACACCTAAGCTTGTTCATTACATCTACATCACTCCTAACTGACATGTAAATTTTAGGCGATGTGCCATTAAAATGATAATGTAAATCGTATGCATGACCCCTAAGACATTGACAGGGTGCTTTAATTTATTCTTTCAATAATAACAAATTAATTTGACCTCTCTCAAATTTCAAAATTTTCTAACTTCTTCCAACATATTTCATCCTAGTTTACCCCTTCACCCCAATCCAATATCCTTTATATTTGAAGATACTTAAGCACAAATTATTGTAGTCCATATCTACAAGTATAATTTTTTGCATTAGAGGTAAAGAAAATCCAAATTTATGCTCAATTTTTACGTTAGAGGTAATGAATCAGAGTTTTGTATACAATAAAGCTAAATCCAAGTTAATTAATGAAATCTTGGATTGAGTTTTCCTTTGCATTTTCTACAACAAAGGGGCAAGAAAATACCTAAAGCCAATGTTGGAGCAATTCCTTAATGGCGACTTTACAAAAGGGTGAAGAATAGACGCATGGGATTCATTAAACGGAGAAGAGGCGTGGCGTGGGATTTGCAAAATAGAAGAGGCGCAGTGTGGGAATCAAACGTTCAGACGACACAATTCGATTGGGATATCTTCAAACGGCCTGGAGAAAAAGACTGTGCGAGAGAGGGAGCAGCTCCAGTATCAACGAAGAAGAGAGGAGATTCCCACGCTCTTTCGGGTTTGCCTTTGACGGGATGGAACAGAGTATTTTTTTTTATGAGGCTAAGGGTTTTGAGGAGGCAGAATAGTAAATAGGTAACTTTAGGTGTTAAATATGTAAATATTGTAGTTTTAAGTGTTAGGCATATAAAAACCTCTTAAAATATAAATTTTAAATATAACAAATATAACAATAATAACATCAAGCTTTTATCTCACTATGTGGGATTGGCAACAAGAATATTTTTCCTCCATTGCGTCATATTAAGAGTCAAATTATTATTTAAATCATATAAAGAAAGGTCATTAAATACTTCAATAGATTGTTTTAAATCTATTTTCATCAAATCAAATACCTAGATTTTAAAAATCTATTTATTTAAAATTTTTTATTTTATATGCTATTTCACTTGATAAGTTTTTATTTGGAAAATATCACCAAAATTTTAATTTAGATGAAAATGTATTTAGTATATCAATATTCATGTTGAACTATTTAGCTTGACATATTGAGCAAGATTTCCCTCAACTCCCTCAGCCTCACAGACTTCTAATCATTCACATTGATAATATCTCCATCATTTCCACTAAGAGTCTCATTACATCGATAGTAAATTTGAATTTCTCAAAGTAGTTCAATCCAACTCCAATAGAAATGGATTAGTTTTTTAAATCTTTAAATAAAGTTGTAGGCATATGATCTAAGTGATTTTATAATGATTCATATGCTTCATATTGGATTGAATGCAAAACTACATAGATGATTAAGAAACATGTTTTCATAAGGCTCCAACTTTATTTGGGATAGCTTTCTTACTACTACACTCTTGACGAGGTAAACATACACTCTTAAAATTCTAAAAGTTTGGAATTTGAATCCAACCTTGAATGAGATAGCATCTTCAATTTTAAAAATTTAGAATTCAGACTTAACCATAAATTAGAAAGTTGAAATGGTGCAAAAGGTTATAGCCATTATATGACTTGTATAAAAGTATTGAACATAAAATAATAAAGAATGTGATGTTATGTAGTTCTTGTGACCAGTATGAAATTCACATGTGTTTAAAATCATTTGTTAATATATTTATTATTATTTTTTATACATTATTTGTGTATTTCATTGAGTTCTAATTCATTAGTAGTGATTGTACTGTGGATAGGAGGAAGGAGCTAGTGGGGTAATAGTCAGGGCTGTTGACTACTCTTTTGTGTAGATATATATTTTGGGAGTATAAAGAGATCTGATTAGGAGCTGTACAGACTTTTAAGTACATACATAAAATTTAAAAGTTAGTAAGTAAATAAAATTTAAAAGTTAGTAAATATCTATATTTTTTTAAGATATATATTTTATTTAAGATATATTACATATACTTCATGTTATTAAGTTGTTATGTATAAAGCTTGATATGTTAGGATATTCTGAATATGCTACTTATTACTCCCTAATTCTGATAGAGGCAGTTTGGAAAGGGTGTTAGTAAGAAGGAGGTTTGTTCAGATTCTCCATCTCTGTTATACTCTAACTTGACTATAAGGAGTCAAATGGGGTGTGACATATTTAATAGTTTGTGTAGCTATCATGTTTAGCATATGTTAAAATTAAGAGTTATTAATTATCTATCTTGCAATTTGTATTAAATATCATTTGAGATATTTATATACATTGTAAAGCAATTTGAATGAAACAATTCTACATAGGATACTTAAAAAAATTAAGGTTGAAACCTCATTTCAAGTTCATTTTTGAAAATTTAATCAAGAGTAAATGTACAAATATTAGTACGAGTAAATGTACAAATATTAGTACAAACACCAAGGTGAAAGCTATTTTTTATCATTTTCAAAGAGTAGTCATTCTAATGGTTTACTAGCCACCTTTTAGGGTGTATTGACTCCGTCGAAGTCAAGAGATAATTCATTACCTAGTTTATCAATTGTCAAAGCCACTTAAGAATTCTCAATTTTTTTTTTTTTTTAATGAGGCAGATGTAGGGTGACCCCCCACAAGACTTCATTGATATATTCTAACATGGGATGGTCAAGTAAAAAACTTAAAGAGTTACTTGTGGCTCAAACTATGCTAATGGAAGGTCTATATAAATGACTTCTCTTGTATGCATTTGGTTTGTAGCAACTAAACACTTTGGTCGAGTTGCTCGTTCTTGCTAACTTTCATATGAATGCTAACAAACATAATAACATGACTAGCACAATAGGTAAACCTATTTTAAGTTTGATAAGGAATTTCAATCATATGTAAATCTATCAATAACTTTCTAAGAATGGGTTAAATTGAACAAGAAATCATATAACAATTAAAAGGCTCATATCCAACATTAGTAATGCTAACCTCACCATCAAAAAAACTAGTTGTGGGATTATCATCCTGAAAGACGAGACTAAGGAAAAAGAAATTTCACACCTATAAGGTAGAATTCGCCTCATGAACTCCATGCATATGTTATAATTACCCCCTTAGGTTGTCACTGATTGAAATAATCAAAGCCATCCAATATAATGATTATTTCTACATATTAGCATTGATGAATGTGAGAGTCCACATCATACAATGATTTTTATTAGGATCACTATCACAATACAAAGAATTACTGACACCTCCAAAACTTGCTTGAAGAACTAATTAATGGTAGGAAGTAGAAGGAGCTTATCCAAACTAAATTATGGAATAGGCCACAAAATGATCTCATACTAGTGCCGCATGATAACCTCAGACCCCCTCAAGCCATTCAAATTACTATAACAATCCCAGTTATGTGTATGTGGGGTTGACAGTTAAAGAATGACCACTAGGATGCTTATAGACCATGTTTATTTAACATCCTAGGTTGGTAATATAAACTTACCTCGATGATTTTACAAGAGTATCTGTAAGGATTCTTAAGTTCATTCTAAATGGATGAGCAATCCATCCTTGCTACATTAAGTGATGGATACTAAGGAAGGGATGCTAGGTGGAGGACCCAACAATGGCAATGTATTAGCGAGATAGCACATGAGAAGAAAGAGAGGTTCTATAGAATGGTACCTCCTGAAGAGATGCCACTATAGGGTTGAGTTTCTCCAAATAGCTTTGCGTAGTAAGTGAAGCTAAATATAAGGAGTGAAGTGAGTTGATGGAGGTTGTAAGTGACAGCTCATTAAAATGAGTGAATTATCTGGCATCGATAACAATAATGACAAAGTTGATGGGTCATCGATAAGGAGTATTATGAATGAGAGGAAGAAGGTCAGTATTGACCAAATGTAGCTCAAACTGGTGCCAAATGTATCAAAGGGCTGATGAGGAAAAAATATTAGAGATTTGTATAATGGGGAAGAGGTATTCCCACAAGATAACTAGAGAATATAAAATGTAGAAGAATAAAAAACCTTGCCCGTTTGACTTGGAAATTGTTATAAAGGAGAAAATAAGGCAGTCTCGATTGGTTTGGCAAGAAAGTATATGTACGATATAGCGACATGAGAGAGGTTTATGGATTTCGATTGAGAAGTCATTCAAGAACATAAATATAATAAGTTGATTTTATCTACTCATCTTTTCCATGCATGAAAGGGTGAAGCCTTAGAGGGATTAGAGGGAAGAAAGCTGACAAGAAGTAGTCAACGAAGGTGCCACATTGATAATAAGAAAATAACCTCGAGGTCCGATGACTGAAATACATGGCAGGATCACTAAAAAGGTGGATTTATAGTGATCTGCATATCCTATTTATTAAGGTTTTCTTTTGATATGTCAAGATATAAAGCCAATAGCTCTAAATCTATCCTTTTGAGGGCAATGACTTAAGGTTTTCTTGACTTTGGGTGCTCTCAAAATCTCCAATGTTCATTCTTAGACTTTAATACCAAATTGATAGGGAGGAAGGGCATTAGTGGTGGATTAAATGATGTGGAAATAGTGGCTACTTAATGTATAAAAAAAGGAGGCATATTAGGTGTTAGGTTTCAAAGTGATGAAGGGTTAAGGTTTGGCCAAAAGTTTGCTTAAGGCTTTGAGAAATTTTGAGAAGGGTGAGAGTAGTTTAATAGCTAGATTGAGAGTTCTATTAGGAGATAGTGAAGCGGGAAGAAGTTTTGGACTTTGGCAGAGAGATAAGTATGGTAGGATGTAGAGACTTGAAAGCAACAAGTTGTAGCCTAATCTTTGAAAATATGGGCAGACCTGCTATGACTGAAAAATGAGAGAAATTAAATTAAAATTTTCTTACGATTTTCTAAAACAATTTTTTATATAAAATTTTTTTTGAATTAAAAATTTTATACTAAAAAGTTACTTTAAAAAGTAGTAAGAAAGCTGTCCCAAATAAAGTCTAAATCATAAATCAAATTATATTAAGCTCTTCAAAGATTAAGGCTTCGTTTGGGACAGCTTTTTTATTGCTTCTTAAAGCGATTTTTTAGTACAAAAATTAATAATTTTATACTAGAAATCCGCTTTAAGAAGCAGTAAAAAAATTGTTCTTATTGCTACTTAAAACGGAGTTTTAGTTAAAATAATTTCAAAAATTTGAAAATTTTTTTAACTAAAACTCCGTTTTAAAAAGTAATAAAAAAATCGTCCCAAATGAACCCTAAATCAATAAAATCTATACATTGTAAACAAATAAGTAAGAAAAAAAATTAACATGAATATTATTTATTCCAAAATCCAAAATAAATTTTTGACAAAAAAATCTCTCCATGAAATTTGAATTATGTGGCAGAAGGCATATAATTTACTGTAACTAGAAGAAATTCATCAAGCAAAGTTCTGCATCTACCACAAGAAAGCAAAGCCAAAACTCGTTCAGGAATAGATGGAATTATTTTATTAAGAAAAAAGAATTGCTGGGGATACGGGAAAGCCTGCTACATAGTAGCTGATAGAATCAGAAGTCCTGTTCTGATATAATAGGCTCATAAGGAGATCAGAAAAAAGAACAGCTGTTCCTTATTAAATTGAAGCCATTCTATTTGTACTTATTCGAGGGCAAATTATTAGGTCCGGACATCTGACAGAGAGAATCATTCAGATTTCTCTGTCTATAATAAAAAAGCAGTCAAAGCGTAATTGCTACAGTAACTATGCTTTTACTGTTGACTGATAAAAATCCAGATGATTCTCTCTGTCATGTGTCCGGACCAAATAATTTTCTCAAAATAGGAGACTCCACTCGGCCAAAATGCAACGAAACTGGAGATGTTTTAGCTGATGTGTGATATTCTATTATGCCGGCAACTTCTCTAGTCCTGCTGCTGCAGGATCGTCTAAGCATATCTCATTTTCCTTTAATTTAGTAGAGTTTTCAGGAGTTTCCAATAGGAAAACAGCTTTGAGAAACTCATATGAAGCGAAGAAAATGGCTCCTTGAGAGACATACATAGCTAACCTTGGAGTTAAGCCCCTGAAAGTGAAATATAGCGCCAATTAATTCAAATAAGCTTTAAATGAAACATCTGGAATACATTCCAGGAGTCTGGTAAAAAATAAGCTAACCTGTAGAGACCCTGCAGACCTTCTTGTCTGGCAATTTCTTGAAGCGCGTGAAAAACACCATGATATTTTCCAATAGATCCAGGAGGCTGTACAGCAATAAGCTCATAAGATTCAGGAAGGGCCTGCTTCAAATTACTTTTACTTTGTTTTTTATTTCTAAAATCATGTTTGTTCAATGTGCTTTTAAACTTTTTTTTTTTTAACAAATCAGGTTGTTTTTAAAGACACTCAAAATTGAGGCTTCGTGTGAGATGGTTTTTTAAATGCTTCTTAAAACAGCTTTTTATTTCAAAATTTTAATTTTTGTACTGAAAAGTTATTTTAGAAGCAGGAAAAAAAGTTGTCCTAAACAAAGTCTGAGTGTGTCAACTATCACTTTCACCCGCCTTCATCATAGTAGAACAAGACTAGCTGTAGCCATCAATGACTACCACTGTTGTCATTATGTCATCGACCATCATTGCTATTTTGTGGATGGCCAACGTCACCATCACCACAACATAAATAAACAAAAATATATTTTTAAGATATCAAACATATTTTATTTATATCAAAACACAAAAAATGCAATAAAAATAAAAGTAAACCCAAACGGACTCTAAATCTACAAGACTGAGCCAACAGAAGTTCAACTTTTTGTATTCATTTGGGGAAAGATAAGGCAGGGAAATGAGAGAACTCAGGGATTAATTTTGGTAGAGGTTAGCGAAACTGAAATCTGCTCAACTTGTCCTTAAATGAAAAAGAGCACCGAAGTCTTGGGTTCGAGTCTTTGTGTATGCGTTGTGTGTGTGAGTTTGCCTTAAATGACCTAAATGTCAAAAAAAAAAATAAAGAGAGCAATTTCTCAGAGAAAGCAATCATGTTTTTTTTTTTTTTTCCCTTCTTTCTTTGGAATCTTATCAATAATCTAAATTGTAAGATAAGCACATTAGTTGTCACGATCAAAGAATCTGCTATTTGATCGAGGCCATCATCACCGTCATCATCACATAAATAAACAAAAATATATTCTTAAAATATCAAGCATAATTTATATTATATGAAGGTGAATTTTTGAAAGCTACTCATCATATGAAGGTGGCATTTGTGCAAAATCTCTGCGACAGCCTAAAATAGGCTTACACCTCGTGTGGTCTTTAGCAAATGCCAGTTATAAAACTGGCAATGCAAGAGGAATAAATAAGGAAATATTTTCAGGGTATATTAGAAAAGCAGATGGAAAAAGAAATAGCTCGGATTGTGAAGTTGATCATACATTCTACAATTTAAACCATGAAGTAGAACTCTACAGTGAAAGTTAAAAACTTTTGTCCTTAAAAGCTGCTTTAAGAAGCAATAAGAAAGTCATCACAAACGAAGCCTAAACCTGATTTTATATGAATAAGAAAAAGAATAAGCTCTACTGCAAACCGAAATGAAATTCAACCTGCGCAAATACAATCAGAAGAGACCAACACAAATAATTGAGATGACAATAAAATCCAGAGAGAGATTCACCTGTATTTGCAGTCTAGTCTTCACTACATCAAAGGGAGTTGTAAAAAGAGCAGCAGTAGATCCAGCAAGACCTCCACAAACAAGCTGTAAATTATCATTACCACCATTGTAAAGATGCTTCTTAGATGAATCAAAATAGGAATAAATATGAGAAAACAATGTACCATGCATGCACATACATACTTCTCAAAACCAGAAAGACCTCCACAATGCTACTAGTGCTAGTTCACAATGAGTACACGAATGAATAATGAATTTGTCAATTTTGGTCACTGGAGAAAGAGCTATAGAACCAACAAGCTAATAAAAAAAGGCGCATTAACTCTTGCTCCAACGAAGCTTTGGAATATGTGCTATGAAATATGTGCTATGAATTCAGGTCTTTTACATTAAGAATTGCTTATTGAGCATGCATTAATCACGTCATTGAAGTTCAAGCTTCACATCTAAATATAAAAAAAGGCTAAGCTATAAACTGACTACATGGATGGTAATCTGAAATAAACGATTATTTCCAGAGGAAAGATGTTCATTTCAGTAATGAAACTTGAATCATTTCTGTAAAATTTCAAAAAAGATGAGGAATTCATCCTTCTATCTCAAAACAACTTGAAGGAAAAAGCCCAGAATCACAGAGAAAAATCAAACTAACCGTGTGAAAAGTTTGGAGGTTAGAATCAGGATAAAGTGATGAGAAAATTTGCTTCAAACTTTCATAGGTGTAGAACTGCAAATCAATAAAACTGACTTTTTAGTGAATGTCCAGCAAACGGGAATTAGGATGTCATGAACTTATTGGAAAAGCTTCAAATCTTGTATAGATAAAAGAATAACCTTAATAATAGAGTGAGGAATGTTCCTGCAAAGTACAGCACCCCATCCTGCATATAATGAAGGAATACCACCCTTTTGAAGGCATCCTATTAAAGCTTTCCTGTAAACATAGACCACAAGTAAGAGTTGATGAAGAGCACAATTGAGTACATGAGGCTAGCAAAATATAAATTTTCATTCTAAGGAAATTCAATGAGCTTAAAGAAATGAATACAAGAAAAAGAATGAACAAAAGAAAAGCAATTTTAACGGAAAAGTAAAGAGTTATAGAAACTGTAATATTAACAAGGAATTTTGATCAGGAGAACTCAAGATTTGTTTCTCTTTAGCAGAATTAAAATTCCTAATGTTTAACTGTTCCGCATTCTGAACTCTGCTTATCAAAATAATTTACCAAGCAATTCTAGCAAAATATTGCATAATTTGAAAAGAAAAGGTAAGCAAAAAACGAATTAAAAGGTTTGCTTTTGCAATAAAAAAGGCAAAAAGTAAGGTACGAGCTGTTAGTCAACAAGCCTAAGATGCACACTATTTCTACTATCATAGGAATAAAACCAATACGTTTAACCTCACGATACTAAATTGTTTAACTAATCATGCAGAAAATATAAAGTTTAGCAGACAATACACTGGCAAGCAAAATCTTACCAACAGTTTTGGTACTGTGAACTAACTTGCATTTGCTGCTTTATACGTTCACTAGGAGTAAAGACAAAAGAGGTTGCTATACTTGAACAACCACCAGCAATGCAATGAGCAAAAGAATGGTATTCCTAGGAAGAAGAAAGTAAGTGAGAAATTAAAGGAACAATTAGGAAAAATGGTGTCCATGCAGAAATTTAAGTGACATAAAGAAGCACTCACATTTGGCAGAAGAGGTAGAAGACTGCACTTAACAGATTCATAAGTAAAAGTATAAATTGCAGAAATCGGTGCTGAAGAAGTAATATTACTACCTATTCCCCGATAAAGTCCAACTATCCCTGTCAAGGCATAAAAAAACACTTTATGAAAAGCTCCATCTTCAATAATCAAATTCATTTGCAGCTTCATCCAATATCAGGATATTCACTGGTTCTATTAAGCTTGAAGACCAGGAAAATGAACTTGAAGGACTTTACCATGCTGAGATATGATTCTTCTGAGAATGCGATAAAATGATTTTTGACCCATTTCATTTGCTTGAATGATAGTTTTAACTGTATCAACAGGATGCAGACAAAGTGTAACCAGTGTTCCGGCCAGTGCTCCAGCTATAGCATGCCTATTGTTAGAGAAGGCAAGTTGAAGCTTATTTTGTATGGTCAACCATGGCTTCGGGGAAAAGTTTCCTATAAGGGAAAGTGAGCCAAAAAACTTGTCATTTTCACAAGTATTTTGATAATTGGTGGCAGATGCTTCTTCTAAAGCTTCAGAGACACTAGTAGAATTTATCAACTTCTGGCACTCGTCAGATTCTAAACTTGAAGATAAAATTTCCATATTACAACTAGTCTGGAGTCCGGAAATTGGTTTTCTCAAAATGGTTTCTGCCTTCTCTGCACAAGTTGAAGGCTGGAGAGTGTGTTCTGAAGAAAGAGAGCTGGGTGGCTTCTGTTCATTTTTGCTTAAGTGTGTAGTTTTTATGACTAAATCTGTGTCTTCTGCTTTGTAGAAGTTGTTTGTACTTTGAATGTCAGGTAAGTCAGATGAAACTTTGCCAATGGTGTAGCTTTCATCCATTTCTTGACACCCATCTTTAGTGAATTTCGCAAAATCTTTTAAACCAAAGTAAGGTTTTGTGGTCAAATTGCTAGCTCTGCCGGCCATACCATTAGAAGCCACCTCAGCAGCTTTATTGGTTTCTCCAGTCGAAATGGCAGTGCTCTGGAAATAGAAGCTGTTAATGTTCCTATTACATGAAGCAAAAAGCAGCATCTTCTTGATTCTTCTAAGATCCTCGAAATTTGACTTGGCTGTAGTTTTGTATCCGGTTCTAAGTTCTGCATTTTGCTGAAAGATTTTGTTATCAACAAATACTGCTGGTACATCTCTTTCACTGTCTAATTGAAAGAGGTTAACTTTCTCATAAAGGTTATCATATTTAAAGTTATCTTCGGATAGACAAATTGCTGGTTGACCAACATAATCCCATAACCCTGCAGCTGCTGATCGAAAATGTGAAATTGTGAGTCCTTTGTTTGGCCTTCTATTCGACGGCAGACCACCTTTTTGGCTAGAAGTGGAGGGTGTACATAAGTTCTTATTAAGAACAATGAGATCTGGCTCGAAGGACTGCACCTCCAATGGAATCCACCAGTATTTAAGGGAAGATTTACCATTTTTTGAAGACTGGTGTTGGGAGGCCATTTTCAAACTTTACGCTGAAAATAAGCATACTCAGAGTAGATTGGTACAAACAATTAGCAACGCTATCATATAATATCCTTTAAACTGAATGAGGTAGCAGTGTAAACATTTAAGTATGTGAATAAGAACAGACAAATACGCTAAAAATAGCGAAAAAATTCACCTAAATATCTAACTAAAAATGGTTTTCAGCCTTTACTGTAACTCAAGAAACGTACTTAAATGGAGTTTCTTTATGTATCTTTAGAAGGAAGCAACAGCAGAAAGTAATAAAGATCTCATTACACTAATGACCTAGCTCAGTAAACTCAACCTTTGCACAAATAATTGTTATCGAAAACAATAAAGTTAAGAAATTAGAGATATCCACTCCCAATAACACTAATATTACATCGGATAACACAATTTAGTAAAGAAGAGAAAATAATGGTTGTATACTTCAAGAAACTTTTGATTAACCTTTAGCCGTTCGACAAGAAATGAAGTCATTTTAAAGAAAGTTTGAATCACAACAACGGTTGGAAAGAGTTTTAACTTTTAGATATTTATTAAAATGTATCACGCTTTCACAACATGAGGCTATCTTTAGTTCATGACAATAATCACATAAAGTACCTTTAATAAAAAGATTAATCTTAATTGATGCTATCTCAAGATTGAAAGGTACTTGCATGATAAAATATATATATATTTGTAAAATACTTGTTGGAATTGTAAATATCTCTATGAGATCAAGAACAATTTTTTAATAGACCTCGCATGTTTGAACAAATCAAAATCAAGGCCAAAATGTTTTAGACCGGACATGGATTAACCCCCCAAGATTATGATCCTTCTTCCTCAAGCAGAGGAAAGGGTAGTAACGAAGCAAAAAAAAACATCACTACCTTTGACTGTTATGATGGAGAATGCAAACCATCCTCAACACTAGAACCAACAAAGAACACACCAACAGACTCCTTGTTATCGGCTTATCTTCAATTTGTTGCAACAAATTCCAAATTTCATGTCTTATGAGTCACTCAGACGCAATGCTCCACCTCGTCATATTCATCTCAAAATATTTCTCTCATGATGAGAATAGCTTCTTAACATTCTTTACTAACAATGGTGTCTATTTTCATTGGAATTGAATGAGGAGATGCCAAACTTCCTCAAAATGTTTCTCATAGGTAGGTCAACCACATATATTGGCTTGGATTCAACAGATCAGTTGAGATTGGCCACGAGATTTTTATTTAATCCTAATTTACATGAATGTCAATAATGTGATGTCAATAATCCCTATTACCTGTCCTATAAAACCATCAAACTAAATATCAGTATGACCTGATCAACTCTTGTGAAGTTTACAAATAGACTCATAATTCAATTTATTAAGAAGACAATTGCAAGTTTTAGCATTGGGGATAGATTTGGGCCCCTTCTAAATTTTTGTAGGAAATCCTCAACAATTGATTGGAGTGTTCGCCTCAATTATGGCCCATATCCTATTAAAATAGCCATAATCGATTGGCTTGCTATTTCCATTGATCAAATACCTCATTGCCACCAATCGTAACCATCACCCACAATCTACCCCTAATTCACCATCTTAGGCTTACCATTATCACCACCTTAAGGCTTATCATGATCATTACCCAAGTAAACTACAATCATCACTCTTAAATTTGTGGTAGCCGCAACCCTAAGGTTATTGCCTCCTTTTAGCTTATATTCGGTGTTTATCCGAGTTAGTTATGACTTTAAACTTGTTACTGTCTACCACTTCCAACCAATCATAATCATTGCCTTTAGGTCAGCCATAGTTACCACTCTTAGGTTTGTTGCAATTTCCACCCTAGAGATTGCCCATGTTTCCATCCTCAAGTTCACCATAACCACTACCTCTAGGTTAGTCGTAATTCACCCTTATGCTTATTGAAACATCCAACTCTAAGCTTGCCACTACTACAACCTTTAAGGCTCCTATTATAGTCATTCCAAGAGTACAATATTAGCAAACCTAAGATTTCATGTAGACTCCATCTTCAGGTAATGTGTTGCCACTCCCTTCGGGCCTAGAGCGATCAATGCCATCAAGTTCAATGTAGTTGTACGTTCGACCACAATTCACTGCCCTAAGCTCTATCATAGTCACCACCTTCGGGCTTCATATTTCTGTCAGCTTCAAATCTTCCATAGTCACAGCCATTGGGTTAGTTGTTACTGTAAACATCAAGTTCTCTATCATCATCACCCTTAAATTTGTAGTATCTTCCATCTTCGCATCAAATACATAAGTTGTTACCTAAACTATCAACATTAGCATTGATAGATTTCTATGGCACATTCATGCAAACTCTTAAAATTATCACCAACTTGTGAATGTCATCATCACTAAAGCAAATTTATTTGCCTTTAGGCCATTATTTTACTAAAGTCCCTTTAACCATTAGGAGAAACACAAATTTCAATATTCTATGTTCATTTATATAGAAAATTAATCATCTGGACTAGGTCCCAAGGTTCTTCTCACCTTTTTCCATATAAAATTTTTAATTTTTTCATGTTTTATTTTGTGTTTTTAGAAATTGAACAGTTAAGAATACTCTCCAAATTCTGAGCAATTCTTCAAGTAACAAATGCCAATATAATCATAAGAAAATATTTTTTTATATTAGGAATCGACATTCTAAAAGTCATTTAATGAAAAGATTGTTCTAATCACATTTATCCACTATCACAAACATCCTACATAATATCGTCACTCTCCCCCACTCTTTGTTTGTCTCCATCATCACCAAGTCCCTAGATGAAAGCTTTCCCTGCAAAATGAGATGCCATCTTTCTTACCATTGACCATGACATCCCATAAACATGTCTTTTTTCACTATGAAGAAGAATTTACCTTCAGATGCTGCTCCATTTCAACATTAATCACATCAATTTTTTGTCGAGACATTCATTAGTAGGTTAGCATGAAATTTACAAATGTTATACTTGACCAACTACCTAAATTCCTCTCGTTTTATAAGTGAAAACTAAATCATTTATCCCAAAGAAAAAAAAACACTAAAAATCATTACATTTGAGTAGTTTTCAGAGCTTACAATTTCATCTTGATTTTCACATCTAAGACAGAACCTTGCAGACGTTATCATTTTATATAAAAAAAATGAATTTCAATCTACAAGCAACCGAATAAACCCTAATAACAAAATTACAAATGTAACTTATCCACACACACTATAATCAAACAACAAGCTTTAATTAATAGGGTACGAAGGACACCGGATCCCACAGAAAACAAGAATTCACAAAATCATAGATTACACAAAAGAAGGAGAGAAAAACCTGGCCTCAGCGTGGAAGCGGAGATATAGGTTGTGTCCACAAGCTCTTCAATGGAGGTTCCGACCTCACTTCCTCCTTTATAGGGCTTTCTGAGAAGAGATTCCCTCGAGCAGGCGCCATCCCTTCTTCAGATCTCGGCGCTGCAACGTTTCTGCTAACCTTTCTAAAACATTTTTTTCATGTATGGAAAGATTGCAGTACAGCAAAATTGATAATGATAGTGTAAGAGCGGCAGAGCTCCACTGCGTGCATTTGAACATAGCATTAAGCTGCTTAAGCTATAAATCATATTTTTTAAAAAAATTGCGTATTTATTAAAGGGAAAATTAACTTTATGAGCTTAGTTATAATTTTATTTTAAAAATATGAAAGAAATTTTATTTCAGTCTAAAATATAAGCTCTCAAATTAAGTCATGATTTCTTGTAGTCTTGAGAACATTTGAATAATAAATTTATCTTCACTTTTCTTTCTTAAGAGAGAAATTATTTTGTGAGGTCATGAAAATAAGATCGGTCAAAATTGAAATATGTAGAGGTTCGTTGTTGAATAATTTAATTGAGGTTGAACTGGATGATATAATAAATATTAAAATTATTCAAGTATACTAAGAATTATGTAATAATTAAAATTTTAAAATTTAAGAATATATAATTACATTAATTAAAATGCATCTATATTGTAAATATAAATATACGAGTATTAAATAAATAAATAAATATCATATTAGCAACTTGACCTATATATGATCAAATCAGTTGGTCCGGTCTGATTTTCAAAACACAGAATCTAATTATTAAAAAAGATATTGAGGATGAATAAGGGCATTTGGAAGATCACTATATTTTATATTCATTGTTAATGATTACTGAATTTTATAATTAAAATAATATTAAATATATAATTATTTTAAATATATATTTAAATATTAATGAAACTTTTTTTTTTGGGACAAAGGTATCTACCTGCTGCCACCTCCTTAGGAGGAGCTTGACAGCGTAACTAATACATCGACTGACCTAGAAGAGGCACCCACCCCAGAAACCTCCTTGCCCGCACTTGATTGGTCCCCACTTAAGAGTTGCTACCGCTCGAGGTGATTAGAGCACGGATTGGGGGTACCCAACCGCACACTTGCCCACCAACAAAGCTAAGCAATGGTGAGTATTAATGAGAATTTTACTCTTAATAGAACACAATGAAAAAATATATTCATGTAGCCGATCCATGTAGTGGAATAAGGGCTTGAAGTTTGATATACCATTAAAAAAATTCATGATCGGGCTCGAATCTCATAACAAATTTTGATTGGAAACTTCCAAAATTAATTTTAGAACATCAAAACTCTGATTTCAACAAATTTATAGTCGAGATGAACGTCCAATGATGCAATAATCAAGGACTCAAAATTCGATCCAATCCGATCCCAAATGAATCCAAATCAAGAACTCAAAGCGTATTCGGAAGGTTCAAATCATAAATTGAATAATCAAATGATTTCCAAATATAATATGCTTATAAAAATCAGAACCCAAACAGAAGCTATGATTGATGTCTAAAATAATAAATATTAAAAACTTATTCAAACAGGCCCTAAAATAATATTTTCAAAATAGTAAAAAAAAAACTCTTAACCAAGTGAGCAAAAGCTCTAAATGTCCAATAATGCAATAATTGCAATAATTCACTAAAGTTCATAAAGGAAAAGATCCTCTCTTCAATATGCGTGGGGTATCAAATAGCAAAATGATCAGATGCAGGTACAATTGCTATCATTTGTTGTGCTGAGGAAAAATACACTAATGATAACTTCCATCAGTGAAATTTTCAATTATTATAGCCGCTCATGCATCATAATTAGGAGCTTCCTAGCTTAGATGATTGTTTAAGAAGTTATAATTTAGCAAAACAAGAAAAAATTAGAAGCCATGAACTATGCCTGCAACAAGAAATGATTCTCCTCGCATACTAGTTTAAGTTTATATTACTTTATTTTTTTTGCAATAGGGTTGTGAAAATGAGTATTTGGGTCAGATTCCAATCGAATCTGGAATTGATTCGGGTCCAATTCAACAAATTCGAATCAGACCTGATTTGCAAACGGGTCAGTAACTTAGACTCGGACCCGAGCCCATAGTTACTGGGTTGACCCGACCCAATCCATTACCCCGCAGGTGGGAGAATGCATGTTGCGAGTGTCGAGCGCAAGATGCGCAACTGTGGGAGAGGGCGGTCGGGCGAGACCACATGGATCCCAGAGCATGACCACGCTGGTGCGTTGTGTGCGAGTTGCGGGGCGACTGATGAGGTCAAACGGAACTTTGGTTGATTCCATGTCAAATTCAGGTTAGCAGGTTAACCCGGACCCAACCTATACCATCATCAATTCCGGTTCAAAAATTGAAAACCGAACCTAATTCATTTGTTAAATGGGTTGACTCGAATCCAGATTTTCAGGGTCAAATTCGAGTCGGGTTATCGAGTTTGGTTAATAATTGACACCCCTAATATAACATGATGATGTTAGGATAAATCAGGAAAGATATTGAAGGTAATGTGGGTTTGATATTGAAGCAAATTAAATGGAAGCACTAAATAAGGAATTTTTATTGCCTCAGGTTACCTGACGTAGAGATATATCATGTAGCCTATAACATATCGCCACGTGCTCTTACTCTTTACCGCGCGGCCCGACTACCCAACCCGGAACGAATATGCTCGGTATTGCTAGGTACTACTCGGTATTTGCTTGGTATTTGATCGGTATTTGCGGCATTTCGTCGCGGGCAGCGAATAGCTTGGAGGGCCTCGCAGGCATCAACGATGCGGGAGATTAAAGGACGGGAGTTGGAGTTGGCGATAAGGTGGAGGATAACCTCGGTGTCGGAGGAGGTGTTCAAGATGGAGCCGGAGTCTTCGAGGCTGGCTCGGAGGGAGGAGTAGTTAACGAGATTGCCGTTGTGGGCGACGGCAAGTTGGCCGAAGCGGTAGCCTGCGAGAAAGGGCTGGACGTTGGCGAGGGAGGAGGCGGAACCGGCGGTGGAGTAGCGAACGTGGCCGATGGTAATACCGAGCAAATACCGATCAAATACATAGCAATACCGAGCAAATACCGAGTATTACCTAGCAATACCGAGCATATTCGTTTCGGGTTGGGTAGTCGGGCCGCGCGGTAAAGAGTACGAGCACGTGGCGATATATTATAGGCTACCTGATGTATCTCTACGTCAGATAACCTGAGGCAATAAAAATTCCTCAATAAGACCAATAGACAACACCAACAAATGCCCTTTTAAGTTTTGTTTATTGATTTGTACTTTTTTTTAAATTTGTACTTAGTTTACTTCATAAAAACATTAGAAAATGGATAATGTTTAAATCATATGCACACCTTATCTATAAATGTTTAGATCAGATGCACATTAAAGCATTATAAAAGGAAAATGACTCTTTTGATGTAGTTCTTATGAATATAAATGTTAGGATGTTTATTACTACCTTATTCAAACTGTGAAATTGAATGTTAAAAAAAAAAAAATCATAATCCATCAAACATCTGGTGTGATAAATTATAATTCTTCAAAAAATTGTATGGATCGTATATAAGATCATCGATAGTGTTGTTTTCTTACTACTTTTTAAAATGATTTTTTAGTACCAAATTTTCTTTTTCAAAATTTTTTTATTAAAAAGCTGCTTTATAAAGCAATACGAAAACTGTTCCGAACGAAGCCTTAATTAGATTCATGAATACCTGTATATCATTAAAACTATGTCGTATATATCAAAAAATACAATCAACAAACCAAACCAACACAATCCCTACATTAGAGTAAGTCAAATCGTGTTATGGTATACATACCCTAACAACCAAAAACCTAGTTAGAACAAATTATTTTTCATCCATTGTTTATAATGACTTAGAGCTATTATTACATCATTAGAAATACTAGTAAAGCAAAAAAGTAATATAATTCTATTTAATATCACAAAACTATATAACCAAAAGAGCTATATATAATAAGAGAGATTTACATACATACCACTCTATAATACTCTATTTACATATTTAATACCTAAAATTTTAATATTACATACATACCACCCTTAGTTCATTTTTATATCAAATATGAGTGGTGGAAATGAAATATATGAGTGGTAGGAAGGAAATATGAGTGGCATATTCGATATTAAAATAATATAGAGTTGTATGTATGTAATATTAAAATTTTGGGTGTTAGATATGTAAATAGGATGGTATAAAGTGGTATGTATGTAAATTTCCCATATAATAATCATGATGCATTATGAAGACTGAAGAAGAATCTCCTGAGGTTGTTATAGTAAATAGAGTACTAACTTACTATAATTAAACTTTTTTGGGGGTAAGTTAGGGGTAGCATCCAAACACACGAGAAATTATTCTGTACAGAGATCGGACATAGAGCAACATCCTATCCGGAGACCAACCAAAATGCGCCAAATCAACGGTACCAGGCCGCGATATCGAGCACAGGGGTGACGTGGCGCATTCTGGTTGGTATCCGGACAGCGTTCCGCATCCGTACAGAATAATTAATCCAAACACTCATGCAATATGTACGTGAGACTCAAACTAAAGACCTCTTAGTTAGAAGTCAAACTCCTAACTAAAAAACCAAAGAGAGCTGCTCACTATGATGAGACTTTAATATTAACTACTTCAAGTGAATGACATCATCTAGAAGTTCAGTACTGTCTTCTTTTATCTGTAAATGTTATGGAGAAGCAAACTAAACAAATTTGATGAAAATACAAACTAAAGGGGGATGTACATACACACCACTCAAAATCTCTCTTTTACATATCTAATAAGTAGAAGTCATTATTTATTTTTTTAACACCCAAAACTTTATAAAATTTACCATTCCTATCAGCGCCATAATATGAATCTCTCATTTGTGTGCACCATCATGGTGAAATATCCTATGTAACAAGCCATCTTCCTTCTCCAATCTCTTTGATACTTTGTCCATCCCCTTACTCAAAATTTTCTCTGCTTTGCCTTCAAAGCATTGATTATATGAACATTACGCTGAACTCTGTTTCTTACATGCACAGTATGCCGGCGAGGTGTAAGCGAAGTGATTGGCGCCCCACAAGCGCTACAACTTTGTATGTTGGAGTGCTGCAACGCTCCAGGCTCGGGTTGGACTATTGGAGATAGATAACAGAGCGCTACGAGGCTTCAAAACCCAGCGTCACAACACTGTGAGCTGGGCTGAGCAAATTTTCTTACCACTTTTTCTTATTTCACTTGAAAGATTTTGTCGTTTAGTATATTGAAAAAAATCTCTATCCATTCTGATTATAGAACAAATAGAGACGTGAAGAGAGGTAAGAAGAGTGTGAAAAGTGAGATTTGTACTTTTTTTCAAATTTTTCATAGTGATTTTCTTGTTGTGATGTGGCTCCATGATTTTTTCCAAATTACAGATTTTTCCACATTAAATCCTATCAATTCTTTTCATTGTTTTCTTGCATGGAACACTACCTACATTGAGGTTAGTGTTCCTTATTGAAAATTCTAGCTCACACATTACCTACACTTAGGGGTATCAAAATTGGGTTGTGGGTCAGGTTCGGGCCGAACCTGATGTTGACCCGCTACTAATTGACACGACCCGAATCTGACTAGTTTCTGTAAATTGGTCATATATTACAACCCAGATCCAGCTCACTCGCATTACCGGGTTAACCCGACCCGACTCATGAGCCTATAACATAGTGGGCAAGTGAGGGGTGCAAGCACACGCGTCCTGCTTGGGGTTCGAGTAGACGCGGGTCTGGGTGCTGAGTCTGGAGGCGAGCGAGGAAGGCTTATTGCTGGCTGACGCAAGCGGGGGATCATGATGTGGTGGCAAGCAAACGTGAGCGGAGTGGGTGCGGGCACGAGCAAGGAAGAATGCCTATCGGTGGTGCAAAGTTTACAGGCGGATGCGAGCAGAGCGGGTGCAAACGCGAGCGGGTGGGGTCGTGAGCTGGTGTGGGAAGCGGGTCAAAATCATGTCCAAATTAGGTTTTGGGTTGACCTGAACACTACTCAGAATTCAAAACAAGTCAAAAATTAAGACTCGAATCTAACTTATTCTTAAAACTAATTGACCCTAACCCAAAAAATTTGGGTCAAATTTTCATGTCGTGTAAATTTTTTTCACTCCTACCTACACTTATGATGGAGATGATAATTCCTTTATGATTTTTTTTTTTTTTTAAGATATGCATCAATGGCTTTCTGGTCGGTTCCAGGCATCTTATAGGTCTTAGTGCTTGCCATTTAAAATCAAAGCATTTATGTGTCTTATTATATGTCACTTCTTTAGACAGGAACGTTGGTATGTTTACCGTAACCTTTGTAGTTGTTGAAATTGCAACAAATATATATATGACACTAGTTTTTCAGAGAATCTTGTCAAAACGTTTGGTTTGTGCCGTTAGCTTTCATCTTAGATTTGGAGAAAAGCTATCAAGAATACTTTCTAGATGCAGAGTATAGAGTTTGATTACAACATCTAAACTGCATTCCAACAATCAAGATTTTATTGCCCAAATTTTTTTTCTTCATTTGACATATGATATAAAGAGAAGCATAATGCTAAGTTAAGTGTTGTACATATGAATATGCTCAGATCAGTCAGATGGATGAGTGGCTTTACATTTAAAAATAGAATACAAAATGATATACATGAAAAAAATTGGAGTAGCTCCAACGGTAAATAAGATTAGAGAAAGTTGTCTTAGATGATTTGGTCACATAAAATGGCAACCTTCTGATGAACTGATAAGTAGAGATATTAAATTTGACTTATATTAAGAGAGATAGGAACATATCTAAAAAGAGTTAGTTATAAAATATTAGAAATCATTTTCTTTATTAGATTTAAATAAAAATTTGACTTTTAACAGGACACAATGGAGAAAAAGATTCATGTAGCTGAGCCCACAATAAAACAAAGGCTTGATGTTATTGTTTGTTGTTGATATATGATATAAAGAAAGTGTTGTAAGCCAAGCTCAGCAAAGTCTTCTAAACTTTTTGAAATAGAAAATTGCTTTAAGAAACAATAAAAAAAACATCACAAACAAAACCTTATATTCAACCAACATGAAAGCAAAGATAAAGTGGTCATTATTATCATCTATAGAATTTGCATATAACATAGCACCAAAAATTTCTTATTACAAATGACAAGCTTCAAACTCTCAACTAGATGTCTACAACTGATTAAGAAACCATCAATGCAAATGTTGAAGTTGGCGCATAACCTCTTGAAAGAACAATCACATCTACAATTTAACTGCATATAATATAAGAGCCATGATTTTTATTAGCAAATTCGCCTCTAAGTATTACTACTCACTTACAGTTCTCAACGACTAATTCAATCATTTTATCTCAATTTTACTCATTTAAACGCAATAACATGATATATTGTAGAAATAGATCGTGCATGCTAGAAGCTATCAATTGGTTCGACCAGACTAATCGTCACTGGCCAAATCTTTTGCTTTATTGGCCTCGCTTTCTTATCAATATTCAAACTTTTGCACCAAGGTTCATTCTATCATAGACAGCTTGAGCGAGCTCCCTTTGTCTACGAGCATACCATCGATCTAGTAAATGGCAGTGGTCGATCTAGTAAATGGCGGTGAAAGCTTTTTCAAACATTGCATCATTGTACATAGTGCTATTTACTTGGCAATTGACTTCAATAAAGATGATTGAAGTTATATCTACCAATCCTGGCCTAACTCATTTGAGGCTTACTCGATGAGAAACCTCTTCAACATCAAATGTTTGGAAAATCTTCTTTGGACATGATAAATTCTCCTCTAAGACCCTTGAATCCAATAGCAACTTCTTTGATCCTTATAAATTTGCTAAAAAAAATTCTCCTTGATGGATTCATTCCCTCCTACTAACCCTAACACAACAACAAATCTCCACATTGTATTCTTTAACATTTATATGAATGTTAACAAATTCAAGAAACTAGACCAACTTACTTGGTTGTTGAAGGTCAAGTGCAAACAAAATAAGTCCTCAAATACCTTGAATGAGAGCCATGCAAGCAAACAATCAACTCTAAATCCTTCATATTGAGCATCTACTTTTGAAACCAAATAATAAGGCCAAAGAGTTCTTCTACACCCATCACATTTTTTTTTAATTCAAAGTAACAAATGACTTGAGTGGTAGACACAAAAATCGCCTTAAAGAAAATCCTTTCAAGACAGTAAAAAGAATCAACACTCATAAAAAACAGCTACCTGAATACAGGAAGGACATGGGATCCATCATTATACAAATCTAAATGAAGAAACTTGGCCTCAACAATCTCCCTTGAGAATGGACTGAAAAGCAAAAACCTTTTTTTTCCTCAACCCTCCATTAAGGCAAGACTTCATTCAATACTGGAGAGGAAAAGGTCCGTGAATCCAATTGATGAGGTATCATGCAAAGGGAAGAAAAGCTCGAGAGATGATAGATTCGATAGACCAGGTTTCATGTTGGAGAAGAAAATTTCACAAGTAAACGAGCGGTGATAAACAGATAAGCGAGGGGAAACAGCCGTAGGGCCATTGTAGAGGAAATAAACAAGATTGAAATGTTATAAATGAATAAAATTGTTTTTTGAGTGCTAGATGCAAAAATAGAAGGCTGTAAAGTGCGATACATGTAAATCACAAAAAGTAAATCAAAGCTTCGCTTAAACAAAGGAAACGGTCAGAAATTTGGCGAGGCTAAAATGAATAATACAAATCGTATATCCAAAAAAATATGACTTATCAGAAATAAGTACTTCTGTGCTTCATTGACTTGCATTTTCACAATGTGTATCCCATACAAACATTTAAAATTGCGAAGGCTGAAGAATAATGGGCAAAATTAAGCTTAGAATGAACAATATTACGCAGTCAGTACAAGCTAAACATCCAGATATAGAATGAGAAGTCAACGATCAATTGTTTCCAGCAGAAGAACTGGGTCTATGATTTAAATTAAACAACTCAATCAAACATCCGATACAACAGAAGAAATATATTAAAAAAAAGGATAACTATCTAATAGCATCAAACCCTAATTTCAACACTTGACCAACCCTCTCTTATCAAGACAGCTCTCTGCATAAAATGAAAACGATCAACACGAATCAAGTGAAGGGGGATCAGCCTCCAAATCCGTAGAGAGTTCGCCCCTGGCGCTTGAGGGCGTACACAACGTCCATGGCAGTAACAGTCTTCCGGCGAGCGTGCTCAGTATAGGTTACAGCATCGCGGATGACATTCTCAAGAAAGATCTTGAGCACCCCACGAGTTTCCTCGTAGATTAGGCCACTGATGCGCTTCACGCCACCACGGCGAGCAAGACGGCGGATGGCCGGCTTCGTTATGCCCTGGATGTTGTCGCGGAGCACCTTCCGATGACGCTTCGCTCCTCCTTTGCCGAGCCCCTTTCCACCCTTTCCACGGCCAGACATATTGACAAACCCTTGATGGCTTCTTGAGAAGAAGAAAGATAAGAAGCCCCTCGGTTCAGATCTTGAGCGAGATGAGATGAGCGGTCAAGGGCTGAGAGTTTATATATAGACTCTTCTGAGAGGAAGAGAAGAAGAGAAGAAGGGCTCAGAGGAAAGAGGACGTGTTGGATTGGAAGCGGACGGTTGTGATGGAACCTTACGGCGGGTTGCGGATTGATGACGTGGAGAGCAAATCTTAGCGGTTGATATTTGTCATCGCGGTTCGTGGAAACTTACCTGCAAAATTTCAAATTGCCGCGCGCGGAATTTTAATTTTTTAAAATTTTTAGGTATTTTCACACAAGTGTTTTTTTTTATAATTATAAAATATTTATAAAAGTTCTTATTTTCATTAAATATCAAATCAATTTATATTTTCATAAAAAAAATTACAATTTAGTCATATGTTGATTGATTAAATAAATTTAATCCATGAGTCATATAAGAGCATGAGCGGGTATTGACTTAGTTTTTTTAGGGGACAAGCTTATAAAAAAAAAATTAACTATAAGACAAAATTCAAAACAATTTATTCTATTGCATTATACTTGTTAGATTTCAAAATTATAATCTTTATATTTCTATTTTATATTTATTGATAATATTGCATTACAATTTTATATGGAATCAAGTCAAATATTTTTTATCAATATATAACATCAGACAATTATTAAATCAATCATCACCCATTTTACTATGTAGTTCATGTTTAATAATTTTCATTGCAGAAAAAACTGTCTCAACTGTAACAATTGCAACTAACAAAATTAATGTCAAGACAATAAGCCTAAAAATTAAGGAATACATAACATGTTCCTTACTTTAATAAATTATTTTGTAAGATTAGCAATGCTATCAAAGATGTAAACTTCTCCGTTGTACGCATATCAAAAATGGATGTGTATAGTTGGTGCTCTAAAGCCACAAGCTGTACTACTAAAAAATTTATTTGATATACTACAAGCTAAATTGATTTTTTCTTATCATAAGTAGAAAATGAGTTAGTTGGATTTAAATATGAAACACAAAGAAGCAACTAAGTATTAGCTTTAAATAATCTATTATTTAATTTTTAAAGTTGCATATTAATAATAGTGTAAAAGAAATCCACATAGTAATAATGCAAATTTTTTATTTTTTATTTTTGCGTCATGATCTTCGGTAGGCCTTGAATATAGAATTCATTGCATGAACATCAACTTTAAAAGCTTTATAAAAATGTTAAACTTCATCTAGTAAAAAAGTTTTAGCAGCAAGAGCACAATAAATTTTTTCCATGACCTTTGGTGAAGTTAGTTTTAAATTGGAACTAACATATGTAAATGCCATTTTTTTATTTCTTCATTATGGTTAGCAAGAAAATTAAGTAGCTCTACTTTATATATATATATATATATTTTAAGTAGCTCTACTTAATTTTCTTGATTATCTAACTTGGATGACTCAACTTACTTAAAAATCAAACACAATCCATTGCTGCTGCTAATATGACCATTTAATTTTTTTTATTATTTTCATCTTTACTTAACCATAAATCAGAATGATTGTGTTCTTAATTATTCATTAAATCTTCGCATTTGTATCTGGCTTTGTTATGTAGAATATTATGCTCTTCAAAATGAGTTAATAATATTTATTTCTTCTTCTAATTTTAAAATCATTCCTTAATAAATGAGTCTTCACCAGCTTAGCATTTAATAATTTGTTCTTGGGGTTTGAATACGTAGCAATAAAAATAAAACACAGTGTTTTTTTTTTTACGTTGTACTCTAGCCAATCAGGATGTTTGTCAAACTACTTTAGATTAAATTTGAGTGTAATATTTTGATTATTTTCAATTAATGTTTGAAGGAAATGATAACTTTCTGGTTGATGATGTTCTTTCAAAAGATAACCTCTTCAAATTTTATCTCTATCATTTACATCTAAGTACTAATTGCAAGTCAATGTCCTTGATCTATTGGGATATTGGCAATATCAATCTCTACTTGTTCTTTTCTCTTTAGATAATATTCCATCAATTAAATCCTAGAAAGAAGTTTAGAATAATAGAATATTCCATCAATTAAATCCTAGAAAGAAATTTAGAATTGCATGTTTGTTAATGAATCATTTCTCAAATAAGCTAATGTTTCACTTGCAACTACTTTAGGATTAAAAAATCCTGCATTTCAATGCATGTTTATGTGATGCAAACGCATTCAAGGATTGCCATAATTCTGTGTTTGTGTTTCTTAGGGACTATAGGAAAATCCCATCACTTAGTACGGATTTCTAGTAGTAGATGCTTTTTGATGTGGCATAAAAAAGGAACCACTCCTCCCAACTTTTAACATAGATAATAATTGATATATCATCAAAAAATTATCTTGATGGGGCACGAATCTCAAGGCAAAATCAAGCCGGAAACTAGGGCTGTCAATATTTGACACGATACGAAAATACGACCCGGACCCGACCCATTTGAAAAACGGGTCGGGTTCAGCAACCCGCCGAGTCGGTTCCAGGTTCGGATTTCTGACCCGTTTATCTACCCGGGTCAGGTTATGGTCAACCCGTTTGCACCCGAGTCAGTTCGAGTTCGACCCGAACTCGACCCGTGACCCGAAATTGACACCCCTACTATAAACTTCAAAAATTAAATCCGGGTTCATTTGAACTACGATTTCAACGAACATACTGTTGAACTGAGCATCCCGAAAATACAAACCCAACGACACCAAATTCAACTCAATCCGAGTCCAAGTCAAAGACCCAAAGCACTGTTGGAAGGTTCGAACCTTATGACTAAAGTAACACATGCAACTACATATGATAGAATAAACATCAACATAAAATATTGTTGAGAAAAGCAAATGTTTGAAATCATTTTCAAATATCGAGAGCGAGGGACTCATAATCAAGAATTAGTAGATTTGAGGTGAACGCAAGTGAGAATGCTAAAGGCTAATGGATTGAGCGAGAGGCTTACCAAGAACACTCCAAAGCTCATTGATGGGGAACTGAACGAAGACATCCAAGGGATATCATATAAGTACTCTTGAAGACTTAGACGAGAATGCTCTTGAAAGAACTACCTGAAGACTACTATGAGCGGCCCTTTGTGGTTTATGAGGTTATCAAAGGCTTAAGCTAATTTCATGTGTAAAATTTAGATCAATAATAAAAAGGCGCCATTTTCTTAATATTACACCAAGTATAATAATATAAGCATATCTACTATCATTGGATAAACAAATAATAGTACTTGAAAAATTAAAATGATTAATTAAAACATTCCAATATTAGCAAAAAAAATTGAAGTATCAAATGGCAGCTTAATGGATGCAAACTTTGTAATAAGTGTAATATTCAAATGGCTTAGTCATATTAATTGCCTTATTTGAAAATTAAAATTAAATAATCTCCTTCCTTAAATGTAAGTAAATTTTGAAGAAAAATGATCGACACATTCTATTTAAGAAAGATAGTGCTTTTAAAAAGAACTTTGTTGTATTTACTGATTTCTTTTATCGTAGCTAGAAGAAAGATTAATAAAATTATGGGTCATTAGAGAAGGAGATAGACTACCAATGGATCATAGTTATTTTTTTGGGGAAATTTTGGTCAATTAAGGTAAATTCATACAGGCATCATATACGCAAGACTCCCCCAAGATCTCTTGAATGATAGCCAAAACTTCCTAATAATAGATCAAGATGAACAAAGTGAATCATAATTCAATAACATAAAGCAAGATAATGGCAATAGTTGCCTAATATTTGGTCATCTTATCATAGTTCAATAAGAAAACACACACAGAGAGAAAACTTTATTAGGACAGAGCAAAATACAGTCAAACTAAACAGTATTATGTTCCTCTTATCTTCTCCAATGCCCAACCAACAGATCCAACGCCTCCTTCGATGACCCTCCATCGTTCCTCGTCGCCCTGAGCGCTTCGCTGATCCGCCTCGCATTCTCTCGCATCCAACTCCCTTTCTCCCCTTCCATCACCATCCTCACCACCTCCTCCACCCTTTCTGCAGCCACCACCTCACGCCGGCGATCCCAACCTCTGACCACCAAGCCAACCATCAACCCCTCCGCTAGCAGCCTCGCATTGGCTGGCTGGTCCGAATGCATAGGCCACGCCATCACGGGCACCCCGCAGCTCACCGCCTCCATGCACGAGTTCCACCCACAGTGGCTCATGAAACCACCCGTGGCTGGATGGGCCAAAATGTCCAGCTGCGGCACCCATCCCCTCACCACCTTCCCCACCCCCTCCACCGCCTTCAAGAAACCAGCCGACAGCAGCCGGCTACTGCTCTCGTACAGTAGGACCCAAAAAAAGCGATGCCCGCTTCGAAGAAGCCCAGAGGCGAGCTGCTCCACTTGCTCGTCGGAAATTATTGTACTTCCGAAAGATATGTACACGACGGAGCAAGGCGGGTGCCTGTCCAGCCACTCCAAGCACTCGTCGCGCGTAGTATTTGGTCTATCATGCCGCTGCATCAACATATGTAAGTTATTTAATAAATTGATAAATATATTTGTATAAGTTTATGTTAATCAGTTAGAAATTTTTTTTCTAAAATGATCATTTTTGGAGAGATTATTAAGTACCGAATCAGACTTCAATCACTTAAAGATCATACATAAATTTTCTTTCTCGTATATATGTAAAAAAATTTACATGACTTTTAAGTGATTAGAGTCGGGCTAATTCGGACTTCATTCTAAATAATTTTTTAAATATTCTTTTTTTTTTGAATGGGAGGTATCTACCGGCTGCTATTCCAATGAGTGCGCTTAGCAGCATAATTAATCTCTCGGTCGAATATAGCAAGGCTACGTACGGGCATAAGACCCATACTTGATTTGCATCACTAAAAGATGAGGCCATGGTAGAGGAGATTTGAACACTGGATGAGAGTTTTCAATCAGCCTCGCCCACTAATCATCCTAAGTCTTGATAAATTTTTTTAAATATTCCGACTTTCATAAAAACCAAAGAGTGGATTGTTGTTGATTTGACTGCATTTGTCACATATTGTATAATTTTCAAACAAATAAAAGAAAAAGAAAAAAAGGGCAAATGAAAAAAAAATCAGATTTTTTTTTTACGTAATATTACACTATACCTAAATATTTTTCTATAAATTTGTGTTAAATCAGTCATAAAAATTTACGGTCATCATTGCCGTGACTTGCATAAGCTCTGAGATAAAAAAATATTAATGCTGGGAATCTCTCACGGTTAAAACTCTGTTCCAGTAATATTTACCGGCAAAGGATTGAGAGGCCCAATTACGAATACTGGCACGCAGGAATAAGCCTCAGTCCTGGCAAGAATTTTAAGATAATTCCTCTCCACCAGCCGACAAGTGTTGATGATGAGGCCGGAGCTCTGGAATTCATCCTTACGCCTCCGCTCTGTAAACAATCGGAACTCCGGCGAAAATAACTCATCCAAGTCGGTTCCTTTCATCCTCAGTTGTTCTACTTCGCCGAGGAAGGCGACAGAAAGGCCATAGAATTTGTAGGACTCAGCGTTGGGGATCGCAGCGGCTTCTAAGCCCGCGAACGACATGAGGTGGTCGTGGACAACGACGAGGCGGCGGGTGGTGGCGGAGAGGGAGTGTAAGAGAGAGGAGAGGGGGGAGCGGAGGAGGTCGGTGGCGTCGAAGAGGGGTTGGAGGTGGGTGGGGAAGGAGTTGGGGGAGTGAGGATTGGGTGGAGGGGAAGGGATGGGGGGAAGGGGGAGGTCGTGGAAGTGGACAGAGGAGAGGGAGGAGAGGGGCCAGCCTTGGAGTTGGAGGCGGAGCTTCGCTTGGCGGTTGTGGGAAGCCAAGGATGCAAAGTGGACGGCTAAGCCGGAGCGGGTGGAGAGAAGGAGGGACAAATGGAGGAGTTGGTTGAGGTGGCCCTGTACTGGGAAGGGAACTATCACTACGGTTACTTCGCCGGCGTTCGACATTTCGCTGGCGAGTGGAGTTGGAAGCTTTAGGGGCCGTTTGGATATAGCATTTGTTGCAGGATTTGGTTTCAGGGCGAGTTAAAACCTTCAATTTTTCAAAAGTTCGGCGAATTTACGGGATTTCGCTGAAGAAGCGCAGGAAAAAGGGCGAAAGATGGTTACTTAGCAGAGCGCGCCTATTGCGGCTTCCGATCCGACGGGGTCAGAGGAGGCAAAGAAACTTAATTAAAATAATTTAAAATATAAATAATTAATTATATAAATAATAATAAAATAATCAATTAATAATAATAATAATTTAAATTATTATTTAGATAATTAATAGTATAATTATAATTAAAATTAAATAACACTTTAATACTTAATTAAATATTTAGTAGCATATTATCAATTAAGTAAGTAGCTATCTAAAAAAAAAAGTAAGTAGCTATCTAAAATATGGTGATTTTAAGGCTTAAGAGACTTTGGTCAAACATGGTCCACCAAATATTCAATTGAATTTAATCATGTATGAAGTTTTGGAAACATTTAGAGGCCTTGTTGGTTTTTTTTTTAATATTTTTTTCTTTTTATAATTATTATTATTTATTTATTTTCTTAGGCCTGATGGGGTGTGGTTTAAGTGATTTTATTCCACTGAAAAAAAAAGAGGATGCAAACAAGTCCAACAAGAGACCAAGTCAAAATTATAAATCGACAAACATAAAAAAAGAGACAGCGAACAAATAAGGAAGCAAAAGACAGCCAGGCTCAGTCATTGGCAATAAGCTTTCTGCAAACACCCAGAAGCTAGGTAATGACCATCCAGAGGAGGAATAAAGCAATAGTCACCAATCAGATCAAAAAGAACCACCACCAATGATTGCCAACAAGCAACAAACCAAAGAAAGAAGCCATTCCCAACAAAGCAGATCCCAACAAAAGAAAGATGGTCTATCCAAAAGGAAAAAAATCATTTCTTTCTGGATTTATGTTGATCACACTTAGCACTCTTTTTAGAAACACCATTCTCAGTAAATTGAATAATACTTAATTCAAAATTATCCTGTGAATTCAAATCTTTCTCAATAATTTTCTCCCCACAATATGAAGAATTGTCATTATCTAACCAGTCACAATGCATCACCTCATAATAGCTCGTTTTACTAACATGACGAGCAAACAAAGCATCAACATGATTTAGGGTTTAGGGTTAATAGGTGTTGTAATAGTCAAGGTGGCCAATGGTAGTCATCTTAGTTCATTCAAGGGTTCAATATGATATATGCATGATCATAAATAATTGTTCAATGTCTATGATAGGAATCTATGACTTGGATTAAGAAATTCAATATTATTCATGCATACGAAGGTTTTATGTTTAAAGGTAATCCATTTGTCAAAATAGGTCAGCCTAAGTCATTCATTGTCAACCATGGACTTCAAATAGAGGACTTGAAAAGAGTTCAAATCAACCTAATGATATTTGCGAACAAGTTTGATGGGTTTGTAAAGGTTCCCAAGGTGATGCCATATCCAATGATACAAATTATAAACATTTGAGGATTTTGTATACTTTGAATATGCCCTTAAATATAACAAATAAATATTTGAATACAAATTGAAATTAAATCTATCTAGTTTTATAAAACATTTTTTAGATTTCAACAAAAAATACATAAAATTATAAGTGTTCTTACATATTGTATAAAAAATCAAGCAAATCTTCATATGGCAGAAACAAAATAAAAAAATAAAAAAAATCTTCGTATGGCAGACAAGTCCTCACGTGATAGATAAATAGTCACATGGTGGGTGACTTGCCCACATGGCATAGAAATCCCCAACCAGATCATTTTCATAATTAAAATTTATCTAATTTAACATATCTATAATTTTTCATAGTAAATTTCTTCATAAAATTTTAAAATCTACCAATAATCTTAATAAATTGAATTTTATAAAGTTACACTGTTGTATGTTAAAGATTAAAATTCTATTTTTATAAATGTTCACAAAATTTAAAATTTAACTTATTAAAATAAATTTGAAAAAAGGAAAACAATTCATAAAACAAAAAAGAATTGTTTTGCTATAACATGCTTGGGAATGATTTAAATCTACCTAATAACATATTTTCAACCAAATGATTTAAATTAATGTAATATAAATTTCCTTTTTTATATATCTAATATAAATTAATGATGCGGAGCATCTTAACTATAACATGCTTGGGAATGACATATCACTTATTACCTTTCTATGAGCTGTTTTGCTTTCTACTATGCTAGTTACCTTTTCCTGTTGGCCAATTTATCAAAAAGAGTATGTTTTAAATTTAAATTAGCTTAAGGAGTAGGTTAACAAAAAAATGTAAAAAAGAGCAAAAACGGAACTTAATTATACGGTTTCAATAGAAACCGATACTTCATTATCCAGCTTCTAAAATCGGATCTTCATTATCTGGTCCTCTATTAAATGATTTACATAGAAATTGGCTCTCTGTTCACCGGTTTTAATTTTTTTTTTCAAAAATACATAATTCTCTTTTACGTTTTCTAAAGAAAAAAAATTAAATTAGATTATTTCTTATTTATATTGTTATAGTGTTTTGCTTTTTTGTTAAGAAAAAATATGATTATTTTTTTTCTTTAGAAAATGTAAAAGAGAATTATGTATTCTAGAAAAAAAAAAATTAAAACCGGTGAATAGAGTACCAATTTCAATAGAAATCGGACAATGAAGATCCAGTTTTAGAAACTCGATAATGAAGTTTTGGTTTCTATTGAAACAATATAATTAAATTTCATATTTGCTCTTGTAAATTTTTTTCTTTTAACCTGCTTCTTAAGTAAATTTAAACTTAAAACATGCTCCTTTTTATAAATTGGCCTTTATGCTATAGAGAATACGGCAACCAACTCCACTTAATCCGCTCCAATACCTTTTCAGACTATCTAGACCATTGCTTTATAATTGTTGTTAATTCCTTCTCTTTATAAATGTATTACTGTAACTCTACTTGTATATAGAAGAAGAATATTATATTTTGAGCTTTTAAGCTTGTATTTGTTTCTGAATTGGGTGTTCCTTCTAGCATGTTCAATTCTTATACAGCTCCACTACATCAATTAATATATTCGAACACTTATTCACATGCACCTCTAACTAATTTGTCGAACTTCACGTTCTGATAACGAACTTCCTAAACCCAATAAGCACGCAACCACGTTACTGGAGGAATGCGCTGAACTAATAAGCTAGCGCATTCTTCAATAGAATTCATCAAACCGTTTGGTGCATTCCAAAGAATGCGTCAAACAATTGGTTAGTTTGCTCATATTTAAATTGTGTCTAATCTATGCTCCTATTGCAAATTTTCACTATCAACAAGTTCCTTTATAAAATTAACCCGTTAAGATATTACCGCATAATATTATTTCAACAATTAATTCTAAAATAACATCTCTCTTTCACAGCCTTGCCTTTCCTAATTATAATATTTATTTTATAAAATGTTCATATTATTGCACTAAACATCTCTCTGGCTTTCTCACTCAATTACAATCCTCTCATCACCATTGCCTCCAATAAAAGTTGCATGATTAAGATCTCTCAGCCGCTATGATACGAAAAAAGTCCACATATCATCATTTTCTAACTAAAATTTTGAGACCACTATGGCTAGACTACAATTCTTGAATTGCTAGTGTCTGACAACAATCCTCAAACCATTGTCTTCTGCCTACATTAGTGTGACAACTATCATTTAATTTCTACACACCAACCGATGCTACACATACAAACTAGCACTAGCTGACTTCATCATCTACTGTAGGCTTGTAGCTCACAATGCATGCCTTTGCCCATATAAAGTTGATTCAGACCGTCACACTAGGTTTAGCTTGCGTTAGCACCAAGATTCATATTAGACTTTTTAGGTTTTGATCTCATTTCCTCAAATGAGTTGACCACGCAAAGAAGCAAACATTCTTTAACACTTCCACTAAGTAACATTCTTTCAATAATATTATATCATTTTCTTTTGAAATAGAGCATCATTTATAACGTTGATAAACAATAGTAGAATAATTTCAATATAATTGAGCTCTGCATAAGTTTTTCTCCCATTTTTTTTTTATCCTTTGACATCTCTTATCTAGATGCAGAAAATCTTATTAGGATACAGCAAAACACATCAAATAATAATACAAAAAAAAGCAAAAACAGCTAACTAATATTTTTCATTTTATTACAGTTCATTAAAAAAAAAAAACAGAAAATCTTATTTGGATAAATCAAAACTAAGTCGACCGAAATAGAATTATGCTGTTTCTATCTTCTCCAATGAGCAACTAACACATCAAACGCCTCCTTCGATGATCCTCCATCCTTTTGCGCTGCCCTCATAGCCTCACCCATCTCTCTAGCTTTCTCCCTCATACTCCTCCCTTCCTCCCCTTCCATCACCATCCTCACCACCTCCTCCACCCTTTCCGCCGCCACCACCTCCCGCCGGTGATCCCACCCTCTCACCACCACCCCAACCTTCAACCCCTCCGCCAGCAGCCTCACGTTGGTCGGCTGGTCTGAATGCATAGGCCAGGCCATCACGGGCATGACACAGGAGTGTCTTAGAAATAACCTGATACCGTTATAGTCTGTTTGGTTTCTTTCTTTCCATATTCTATAGCTGTTTCTGTTGCCAATTGTATAGCCCTTTTGAATTGTATTCTTTTCTTTCCCGGGTGTGTTTTTAAAGGCACTCCGGACGATAGTGGGAAACAGGCTGAGTTTGAAAACTATTTCTCTGACTTACTGTCGAGATTATTTTGTTCTGTATCCTGTGTGTTCTTGCAGGTGGTGGAGGAGAGTCTGTATCCGGTTCGCCCAGCCGGTGGTGATCAATCTCCGACGACGGGCTTTGGAGACGACGTTCCACGTGGGCCCCTGAAGATCGAGCTCCTTCGATCTCCAGAAAATCACCTGTTCGATTGTTTCTGTTCTTGAACGGTGTCATT